TTGAATATTGAGAACAGAGGGAAGAATCATAGGGTCCAGACAGGTTACCTCTAACTAAGGCTGACATCAGCTGAGGACAATGAATATTTCAATGCCAGGTTCAAAGAAGTACAGCCATTTACACTGTTTTAGGCTCTGTGCCGTATCCTCTCCATGGATTATTAATCATCACCCCTGTATAATCTCTTTATACCAGGCTCCCCTGAAGCTCAGAAAAGCAATGGCAAGCCTACATTTCACTTTAAAAACTTCTGGACAAGACAGGGCATTATGTTCTCACAAAATCCTTCTTCTGTGTGTCATCAATGATCTATGTATAAATGCTTGAAATGTGCTGCACTTTTGTACCCCTCTAGCTAGCACTGTCTGCTGGACAAGAGTATCTGCAAAGGGTAGGTCTGGCTTGCTCTACTGTATGAGTGTTATCTGATGTATTTGATGTTGCTGAGGCCTATCTGTGCCTCGCATCACATTATGAAAACAGTAGACAGAAGCCTACGCAGACTACAGTAATGAAGCTGAAAACATACACTGATTAGGTGGATTTGAAACAAATGAAATTAGGCAAGTGACAAAGGGAATCTCTCTAAAGGAGCAAGGGAGAGCAGAAAATAGTGGGCAAATAAACATACTGACCAAAACAGCAGTAAACAAGAAGCAGAGATGATGGATTCATGGAGAGATGATGCTATCATTACAGCCTGTCCTTAATAAATGGCATGTATGCTGGTTACTTACTTCCCTGGAAATAAAGTCTGATACCATCTGTCCCCTTGAAGTTTTACAGACTGTGTCGATAAACTGCCCATGCAAAAATAAACAGATCACTCAGTGAGGGATTGTTACTTCAGGGTTAGCCAGCCTTACTGCGAAGGGAAGAAGGCAATCAATGGCACAGGCTGACAGTATCTGAGAATTCCCAAAGGGCCAGTCCCCCATAATGTTGTGGCAATCATATATCTATGATGTGCACTGGGGGTTCTCTGTGATGACAAAGCGTCACAGGCCAAATACAATCGGCATGTGTGCACTGTTGGTCATTGACAACTTTGCCATTTTTCTTCCACCAGGAGCAGCCAACAATCACCATGCTGCAAAGCTATGAGAGACATGTTGCAATTACACCTTGCCTTGTGCCAAGAATTTTCAAATGAACACACACACAAAATCAGCTATGAATAATGCATTGTTTCTCACAAGACAAGCATACTTTGGAAACTACTCATCAGAACTGTTAATTAGAACAGACTTTCATGTCATGCAAAAAACAAAACAGTAACCTCGCATTATTACTGCAGCAGCTCAGTACACTGTCCACACCACACAATAGCTGGCATCAGAAGGATGGTTCCAGGGCTAAGCCTCCTCTAGTTTGCTTTATCTAGATTCTCTTTGGCTTATTTGTGCTGGCTTGAATGCCATCATTATCCATAACGGTCTTTAATTTCACTTTGCCATTTAACATCATTATACAAGTGACAGGTGCTAAGCCTTTAATCAGCCTCTGATTAGCCTAGCCACTGCCTGGCTGTTAATCTGCCGAATCAGGCCTGCTGTTGCATTCTGGCTTCTATCATGCTAAGTGCGACCCTCTTTAAAGGTCCAGCCTTTAGACTCAGTTAGCTCTCCTGACTAATCTCATTTCTAGCGATTCACTGCTACAAAACCATGTTTTGCTTTGTTTTGTTATTTTTTTAACTACCGTAATCTAAGTCTGGTATATTAAAAGCTGTGTTACAGCTCTTTTTTAACTAATCTAAGTCCGGTATATTAAAAGCTGTGTTACAGCTCTAAACAAATGAGCTTTAAAAATCAACTATTAGCATGCACTTTCAATTTTTCCAGAGCAGTGAGAACATACATTATAGTGATAAATGAGTGATCCTGGTGAAAATGTCAAGTATATAACTTTGGAACTGCTCTGCTGTTCTCACTATATACAGTAGCAGCATGATCGCATGGCATTCGCCATCTGCTGCACATACAATGCAATGGCGTATTATCACTTTACACTTTATAATAAGCTACCCAGGTCAAATTAACCACTAAGTCTGACGGTATTAATCCTGAGAACTGCTCAGGATATTATACTGCATATGAATCTTTATATTACTACACTTCAAATGTCAGTTGGTTTGATCGGAGGTCAAAATATCACTGACATCGTGGCTTCAGGGCTGCTTGTTTAGACCCATCAATTATCGCACAGAGTAGGGAGAGCTACAGTAACAGAGAAAAAGGGAGGCAAAACCCAACTGGCTAGGACTGCAGCAAATGCCGTGGGACGCTCCAGCTTCCCCCGCACCTATTAGTCATATTATTATTTTCACTTACTGAAATGATTTAATTTCATCAGCAGCATAATCAGGTTAACTGATTACCCAGTGCCACGGCATAGAGACACAAGCTTTAAGCAGGTCTGTGCATTAATGCTACAAAGGGACTGCTGGAGAAGAGAGAGCGAGTGAGACAGGGCAAGAGAAAGGAAGAGCAGAGAGAGAGAGGGAAAGGGAAACAAAGGTTAAGATTAAAAGCTATGGAGACAGGGAGGATGGTAAACACAGTGGAAGAGGGTGAAGAATAATGATAACATACTGTACATGTAGTCTGAATAAAGAGGAGTTTAACTAAAGGCCAGACCCTGCTGCTCAGACTCTATACAATGCAGTTTCATTTGCTCTACACATTCACTAAAGCCAACAACTGTTCACATCAAATTGCCAGGCCAGATACTAGAAAAATATGCCCGTGCTAAGAGGGTTGTGATAGTTGGTTGTGTAGAGGTTGTGTAGTATAGCTGGTGTATGTAGAACTGGAGTAGTGGGAAGCCTATTTTCTATAATGCCTGTGTGCAAGAATGGTCTGTGTACACTATGTATATACTGTAATGGCAAAAGCAGTATTTAATATGTTTACCAGATTTGAAATTATGTATAAAAATGTCTTTTCACTTCAGAGCCATATGTACAAGTTTCAAGCACTCAGTGCTTAAAGCCCCTGTACAAATATAGTCAGCACAGGCTCCACAGTTCCTGAGCTACCACAGTAATGATTGAGTCTTCAAGGTTCACCACAAATGTGAACCACATATTAGAGACTAAAAGGTTTTCATTCCAGTGACCATATAAGAAGCAAGTACATGTCTCCTAAGACAAAGTTCTCTCAGGACCATAGACTTGTATTCTTTATGTTGTAAAAGGGGTTTTGTTTTGTTTTGTTTTTCAGCATTTGCT